ATTAAAGGTATTGGGATGCAAAGTTTTTGCACACTCACTCGCATTTTGACTTTCTATGCATCTCAGTCAAAGAGCATTGTCCACAGAGATTTCCAGTGTTTGGATTATGTTTTGTTCCAGCAAGTTCAGGTCAAGGATCTTGGTGATGATATAGGGAACTGAGCTTTATTTACCAGTCTTTGGACCCTTGGTTTGGCCCATAAAAGTTCCCAGCACAGGCAGGTTGTGCTTGCTGGCAGACTCATAATGATGTCTGACATCATCCAGTTTCAATTTTCCTAGTTGTTTCCAGACCAGCAAAGAAATAAAATTTCCCCAGAGTTGCACTGTCCAGTTCCATTATGAACTGTCGGTCTTGGATTGTGATTGGCATAACCAACCTAGAAGTATCATTGAGAACTTCACTGAGGATTGTTTTCATGATTCTCTTTATGGGAGGTTGGGAACAATGTTCCAATTGCTGCTGTTGCTTTTTCCTACAAGCAGCTTCCAAATGTCCTTTCTTGTCACAAAAGTGGCATTTGACTTATTTGTAGGGGCAGTCAGTCACTTTATAAGCCTTTCCACATCTTTAATACTTATATTCAGGGTCTGTGGAATTAAGCCACTTGGAGTTTTTTCATTGACCCTTGTTCTGGCTCTGCTTGACCTTGTCAGCCCTGGTCTTAGACCTGAAACAGTTTCCTTGGCAACCTTTACTGTGTCTTCGGTCTCAATAGTGACCTGCACTGCTATCTTAAAAAGGGCCTTCAAGACAGCTTCATTGTTGACAGAACATATGAATCTCTGTCTAAGAGCTTCATCTTATGGGTTGGTGATGGAAGGGAAGTCACAAGTAACAGCGTCTTGTTGTATATGCGCTGCTAGCTCCTGGAGAATTTTGCCTGGCTTCTGTTGCATGTCCCTCCAGAACTTGAATCATTCTCACATAATGAAACATTTTGGGTTGAATTTTTCTTTCATAAAGTTGACAACTTCCTCCATCATCAACTTGTTAATATCCTTGGGCGGATTCTGTTGAGTAGCTAAATTCGCCAGCTGTTTATATATGGTAGAAGTTGGATTTGTCAAGAAAACCTAAGCCTTGCATTGATCAGGCACGGCGTTAGCCACAACAAAAGTGCAGAATCTTGACCAGTAATCAGTTCTAATGTCAAATTAAAAGCAGAAAATGATGGGATAGCAGCTGAAGAAGTTGGAAGATGGGAACTTGGACTAGAATCCTTTTTGGAATTTTGAATTGAATTGGTGTTCTCAAAGTTTCCATGTCTTCTCTGTGCTGCCATGCATGTTCCTCCATTTGTTCCCTCTGGAGCTGGAGCTGAAGTTGTTGTGTGAATAACTTAATCAGTTTGCCACTTAGTTTCGTCATTGTTGTCGAAGTAAAAAGTTCACTCAACAAGGATAGTCATTCTTATCCTATTGGCAATGCCAATTTGTTGTGTTTCTCTCATTTACTCACATAGAAAGCACAGTGATATTCCAAATAGGTTAATTAATTGTCTCTCCAACAGTGTATAATGGGATAGGATAAGGGCAAAAAGACCAATAAACCGCTACAGCTGCATTGCTTATATAGTAGTGTGATTCTAGAGAGTTCTACAACATTCCATTTGATTCTATTGAATGGATTTGCATGCCAGCAATTTGCATTGGTCAGACCTAGATGCTAATGATCTCTACAATAGTGATATTTTATGGTTTAATATATTTTACAAGATTTCCATATGCCATCAGAGCTACTTGATTAGTATCCATCTTGAACAGAGAGTCCAACTTTTCATACCCTAACTTCATTCCTTCCTCTGTGTTTAATTTATCAGGGTCCATTTCCAGTACTGCTTTTCTGGCTTTACCATTTAGACTCAAAAACACAGTTGGAGCTTTTTTTCTTCACATCTATATTTGTTGCCATTTCCCAGAACTTCATTTCTTTTTTTTTTTTTTTTTACCAAGCATGGTACTTTTCTGGGCTAAGCACTGATGGGGCTAAAAACTCAATATTTGTCATCATGATTTTTTTTTTTTTTTATTATTTATGAACTACACTCTGCTACCAGATGCTAAAACAGGATCTTGTTCAAACATCAGGGTGACAGCACTTCACCAAACAACAGAAAAATGTTCCCTGAGGAGAAATTGCAAAATAATTAATACTGCTTAATGGTTAAATCCACTTTAGCAGGATGGGAAATAAGCTACTGCCACTGCTTAAAACACATCTATTAAGCTTAGGAGTCTAATTTGTTAGCCAAGGATGGTGTGTCCAATCTAACGTAAGAGTCAGCATAGTTAACATATATGTTAAATTTTGGAGGGGGGGAGTCATCTGTATAACTGAGAACTCCTCAGGCTGAGACACAGATAGGAAATTGGGTAACAAGGAGTTGTCATACAAGAAACATAGTTGTATTTTCAGTGGCCTTAGTGAATGCATAGACACATGTGTGACAACTGTCCCCCTATTTTATAACAATTATTGCTAACTTACCAAGTCACCATCCTGCAGTAGAGGACTTGATTTTGCAGTACATAATAGAGACATTTTATTCAAGCAGTTTTTCTTTATATTCAATAAACCTCTTGTTAGAGTTATCAACAAAGTTGTGCATTTTATTGAAGGAGATCTTATTCTAGCTTGAGTTAGAAATTTTCCACAAATGCAAGTTTACCGCAGCTGCATGTAAGAATTATTCCTTCTAAACTACAGACACAATGTACATAGAGGAGTTCACACTAGACTTCACTGTCAAACCTGAATCAACTATCAAAATCACACACTGACTTCAAACAAGGAGGGAAAAGAATGCTGGATGACCCATAAGATTAATATTAATAAAGTTAGCAACTGTCAAAAACAGAAGAGACTGAACTGGTTGATAGTGGTGTACGAGTTGAGTGTGTGATAGGTGTGGATTACATAATTACCAACATCTAATATTCAGTGTGCTTTTTTATTTATGAATTTTTCAACTGTTTTAATTAGGAGTTATGTATTTTTTAATTTTATTTTAGAGGAGGCATGTATTGAAAGCCCCTTTCCTGACAAAATAGACTAAACAATTACAAAAAGGTTTTGTCTATGAAACTATGGAGTTGAGATGCTGAATATAACATCAATTAGCTAAGTAACAAATTATAAATTTTTATTGATAATATAAAAATTGTGTATTTGAGCAGCAATCTCTCTTTATACAAGTTTCATTAAAGAATTCTTTTCTGAATATAAACTGTGTAAAAGCTGTCTGAATGTTCCATATATCGAAGCACTTTGAGATATTTTATTAGTCAGTATCAAAGATGTTTTTTTTATTTTTAACTGAATGTGTAGATTTTTTATATATGTCTCAAGAATGATGGGAATGTATTTTTTTTTTTTTTTAATTTTCCAAGCATAGTCGGCACATTGTGGCTGTGTTCATAGTTGATGTTACTGATTTTTCTTTTTTATTATTAGTGCTGTCATTATTTTTAGTCTTTTTTAAAATATGACTGAGGTTATTATACTTGTATTTTCTACAAGTATGTTGCAGATAGAGTTTGATAACTATGAGCAGGATGAATTTTCCCTTAGAAATACCAAAGAAATCCACAACCACAGTTGACCAGAACAAGAAGATTAAATTATCTACTCTAAAAAATTTTAAACAGCTAATCTTATAGTAAACAACAACTCACCTGCAAGATACAAATTACAGGGAACTAATATCATTTATGAATTCACATGTCCTTTAAGGAACTGTGTTCCTGATCAAATGATATTCATGAATAAGTATATTGGATATACCACTACTATCATGAAGAGTCATATTGTACCTCTTGGACTATAGTGTAGTTAGGACTCAGTCTAACACACATGGAAACCTACCAAACTCCATCTGAAACATACTTGTAGGAAATAAAAGTATAATAGCTTGATCCACATGTTAAAAAAAAAAAAAACTAAAAATAATGGAAGCACTAATAACAAATAAAGAAAATGACAATACTCAATAACATCAACTATAAACATGGCCACAATATGCTAATCAGGTTTGCAAAATAAATAAATAAAAAAAAAAACAAAAAAAAAACAACAAAACAAAACAACAACATCCTTGATAATAGCTAATAGAATAGCCGAAAGTGTTTGGATAAATAGAACATTTGGACAGATTTTACACACTTAAATCCCTAAAAAGAAATCACTTATACGAACAGAAACAAATTGAATAAAAGCTTAATTACAGTACCTTGTCAGTCATCTTTAATGAAACTATATATGTGTACATATTTGTAGGATGTATGATATTCAAAACAAGTGAAGATGAGACAAAGTGGACATTTTTTTTATCAAATACAGGTTTCACCACCAAAGAAAATATATGTTCTCTTTGGCTTCTACAGTTTAATAATGAAAGAAAGATATAAACATTATCAGGAAAAAATGCCTTGGGATCTCTGGGAAGTGGGCATTGTAGATCAAATTTATTGCCCAGCTTATCACCTCATGATTAAGAGAGTTGATCTTGTTTGTTTTATCTGTAACAGAGCTATTAGGTATTGTTTGATTTTAGATCAGAAACCTTTTATTTGACTTGATAAAATCATTCAGAGGATGAAACTCATCAGCTAAAATAAGTTTTCCTTTTGTCATTATTCATATATGCAAGACAAAAAGAAAACTTTTCTTTACCAATATTTGAGGAACTTTACCCAAGGTAAATGGGGAAATTTTATTTTGTAGCTTGTATTTATATTTTATACAAAATAAAATTTCTACATTTATCTTGATAAGGTTCCTAGAGAGGAGGAAACAAGTTGGTAAAAATAAGTTTTCCTTTTTATTTGATAAAATAAATGCTATTATGCACAGCAAACAACAACTTTTTTTTAACTGCAGAATATATATATATATATATATATATATATATATATATATATATACTATTTTATGTAAACACAACATTGTCAACTTAGAAAAAAAAATTTTCCAATGTGTTAACCAGCTGATTACTTACCCATGCTGCCTGTCCCATCTATTATAGCAGTGACAGTCGCCAATGCCCTTGCATCTCCATTTAAGCTGCTGTGTGTACCAAGATCAGCACTGACTGCTGTCGTTATCAGAGAATATGGACCATTCACAAATGCACCACAGATAATTAATAACACTAAAATAGTGAAAAAAATAAATAAGGCATTATAAAGTAACATGAAGATATAAAACTTAACACAAACATATATAAGGAAACTTCAACTTATAACAATACAAGTATGATTTAAGCCAGATTACTTTTAGAGATATTAAAAAGAAAGCACTGCATGAAGATACAGATGGACAAAAATATTGTTTTGGGATGTTAGTCAGACGTCTTCTTGATCAATACACTCATGCAAATTACGAGGACTCGCTCATAAATAAATTTACAAAATTCAATTATCTCCCCTTGCTATGCAGCATGACATTATACAACCAGATTCTCCATATAGTAAAGAAAGCTTTTAAGAAATAAACAAAATTGAAAGTTTTCATTTTATAATATTTGGAAATAAATACTTAAACACTATTTAGTTACTTTAAATGCAATAACAGTTATTGATTGTAATTACTTTATATGCAAGTAAATATCTTGCAAATATAAAAAAGAAAATTAAAATTTTCAGTTCTAAACTAAAAGTAAAAGCATGCACACAAGTTTATTTTTTGTTTAAACTTTGAATAAATTTTGTTTGAGTGATTTTATTAAAAATTAATGGAAATGCCCCATTTTAGATAGTGTAACAGTAAAATGGCTTAATTTGTTTAGCATATACAATTTGAAGTTGGTCAAATGAATTGTTTTTTTCATGAAGTATATAGGGAACAAAAATATGCATAAATTAAAATAGCATCTATCAATAATAGGATGAGTTAATTTTGTAGAATGTTTTAAATTCAAAGAGAATGTTTATATTAATGTACCCCACTTTCAAGACAGTTAAACTGATCTGCAGTAAATAGTAATTTTCCAAGTGTAGCTTAGATGTGGCACAAGGCCGAAAGTATGGGACACCCAGTGAGGATCAATCTCACTACTCAGTCGTAATAGTTCTAGTGAGACAAGCTTGCTAACCATTACACCACCTAAAGGTGCCCAAACTGATCTGCAGTAAATATTCTAAACTAACAGGGTTATGAAGCATTCTTTAGGATAAAATATGAGAAGTTCATAAACATTTTTGTATTTAATTGAATTTGCAGTTTTCCTTCATCAATATGGATGCAACTATAACAAATGAGAGAAAAAATTCACTATGGATAAGTTTCAAAAAGTAGAACATTCTTTGTAAGTTCTTTTATCTTTTGAAAAGTTTTCAAGTATTTTTAAGAAAAAAAAATGGACATAAAGTATTTAAAAATCAACTTTAGCCAAACAGTGCTTACAATATGCTTGCAAGTACTCAATAATAATGTGATAATTTGTAAAAATAAATACTTACAAACATTTTTAACAAAACTTTCACTGCCATACATGTTATAAAAATAAAGCTGAAAGAGAAAATGTGAAATTGAGAAAAGCAAGGAGTAATACCAAAAGCAGATTTAGTTATTTAAAAGGCAAGAAATGAACATGTGAATAAAAATATACAACTTATAAAACATGCTTAGTGCAGTGAAGGTGGCCAATTTGTCTTCTTTAAAATTTGGCCTATCAAAATGGAAATGTCTTAAAAGAAAAGAAAATGAAATGTCAGAAAATTCAGTAACCATACATTCCATTTATTAAATACTAATCCATCTAAATGTATTTCAAAAATATAATTTAAACTGTCTCAATTTGAATATCTATTCTGTAACTTCTCAGAACCCACATTCAATAACCATTTGTGGTTTCCAACAATCAAGTTTTGGTTTATATTTCAAGCATGCTACAGATTTGTTTTTTGTTTCTTTTTTTAAAAAGACAGAAATATATTTTCCAATAAACTAACAGTGAAATGGATCAACACATTTATATTGTTTTATATATAAATTTGTGTTGGATTGAAGAAAAAATATCAATGAAAGTTCTTTCAGATGTTTTATTTCATTTTTCTACAGTCAAGACCAATTTTCTGGTTTCATGTAAAGTTTGAACACGTCTTGTGAGCACCTTCAGCATTTATAAGCCATTATCAAAGATATTTTGTTGCAGATTGATAGGGTTGTATTTTCTGTATGTGTTGTATTTCTTTGGCGATTTTCAAAGACATTGAGAAATTTATGTTCAAATTCTGCATAGAAACTAGAAAAATGATTTGAACTGTACAAAAATTATGTTAAAAAAAAAATCTTAAAAGAAATTTTATTGGTCTTCAACATTCATAAATGAAAAATTACTGTGTAAATACATCATTTGTATAAGCCAGTGTCTGTTGCTATGTCACTGATTTTGTCCATATATAAAAAAAATATAGACCAGCTACACCTTTCATATCTTACAAGCATACAAAACACGTATACATAAAATATTCTAATCTGTATGTTGCACATTTCAAACAGGTAGTTAATGAAAACATTTAAATTTCTCTTTGATATTAATTGTAAAAAAAATAAATAAAAAAAAAAAAGGTAATGTGCCTTCAAAAAACTGTCAAAGGACGGTTATTCCCTTGACACCGCAATTACTGTATAAAGCTACCAACATTCCTGGCAATGTTTATTTACAAAATTATAGAAATATGTGAACCAAGTATGATCCAATATTTATTATTTACCTTTTATAAAGATTTATTATTCAAAATTTTATAAAGAAATAAATTTGCATGCAAATCTTTATTAAAAAATTTAGAAAAAATTATCAAAATATGTAAACCAACTAAAATGTAATATTTTTATTAACCATTTTATAAATAACTATAAAACAAGAAAATTTGAATAAACATGACAAACATAAATTAAAAGAATGTTTAATGGAAGAGACACTCTTAACCTATTTTAGTGGATTTATGTGGTGAGAGTAAATGAAAGAAATTTTCAAAATTAATCATTACAGTTACTTGTTCAGACATTTTTATAAATTTATGAATAAAAATTTTTTCATTTATTTCTTCATAAAATGGTAAATAACTTATTTCATTATAGCTGGTTCACATATTTTTTATAATCCTGTAGATACAAAATTCTTGTAAATAAATAATAAATAAATAACATTTAATATCATTGTTGTCAATTGTTAAGAATAAAGAAAATATATTAATCACTTTCATAAGTTTTGGTTTTATTAAAATTCTAATCATAGTTTTTTAAAACAATCAACAAGGTGTCAAGGAAATAACTGTCCTTTTGAGACATTTTTTTTTGTGGGCACAAAGGCTAAATATTGCCAAAAAATAATTAAAAAAGCATAAAGTTGTTAAAAAAAAATTCCTTCTGTATTTAAAGCAGGTTTTAGACTTTAGATGGTTTCTATGTCAAATATTATTATGCAAAGTTAACTTACGCCATGATTGTAGTTTACCAACAAAAAATTAAACTTGGTAATTCAAAATTTTCATTTATCATATTCAGTAATCATTTAGCTGTTTCTTATAAATGTGGATAAGACAGTAATGTAGTCATGCTTGTTTCTAAAGAGGCCAAGATGATTACTTATATTTTTAGTGAAAGAACAGAAAATTCTCAATCTCTTATTTGTAACCAGTTTTCAATACTTTAATGATCAAGAAAATGATTTGCTAACATGAACAATAAAAAGGATGCCACGTGAAAGTAAGACATTTTACAATGAGTGTAGAAAAATTTTTTACTGTTATTTTCAAAGATAAAATACAAAATCTACTTACCATTGGTGCTGCTAATGCCAACATAAACATACAAATGGCACCTCGAGAATTAAGCTTATCTGACACAAAACCTGCAAAAATTCCACCTGAAACAAGAAAATTAAAGTTATTAACTTTCTTTAAAAGCCAATTCATAAGCAGAATAGCTCCAATACAGTTCTACCTTCATGTTTATTTGATTCAATAGGGACTTACAAAATCTACATGAAATTATTAACAGAAATCAAAAGGTCTATTCTGTTTCTTCAGGTCTATTGATGATGTGTTAACAGCTATCATTGAATTTGTCTATCAAGCTTTACATAAAAATAATGAAGCTCAGGCTGTAGCTCTAGATATTGTAAAGGCATTCGACAGGGTTTGGTATGCTGGTCTTCTCCATAAGTTCAAGAATATTTGGCATAATCCAATCATTTGTAACAAATTGTGTAATGAAGGTTATGTTGAATGGACACACTTCTACATTATTTCATATTTATGTAGGGGTCCTCTAGGGCTACATTGTTTCTTATCTTCAACAACATCCCTCCTGATGTAATCAGTTCACAATTAGGTAATTATGCAGATGACAACTATTTATCCCTGTTTTAGTAGAAAGTCTAACAAAGTAAAACAGGCAACTGCTCCCAAATCAAATCAGTGGTTAATCACCAAAGAAAAATTTCTACCTACCATCAACATGGCTGATGCTAAACTCCAGGAGAGCAACATTTTGCACCTTCTTAGGCTCACATTTTCCAATGACATGAAGTGAAGTGATTATATCAAATTAGGTCTAGTGCTAGGAAAGTTGGTTTACTGTGTTGTGCCAGGCAATTTTTCTTGTCAGAATCTAACTTTCACATTTATAAATCTACCATTTGTCTGTGCATTGAATACTGTTACTATATATAGTCTGGTGCTCCTAATATATGTCTTGAGATTCTTGATAAAATTCAAAGAAGAGTCTGTAATGTAATTGATCCTGACCTGGCATCTCAACTTCAGTCCTGACATGGCTTCTTCCCTCTGTCTTTTCTACAAATATTTTCAGTTGCTTTCCTTCTTAGTGCCTTGATAGCAAGGATTTAAACATGTTACTAAATTAGCAACTAGATCTCACCATGTTACTGTTGAAAAATGTAAGTTCTATTCTGATAGGTTCCCCCCCTCACCACCACCACCATACTTCTTGTCTGTGGAACTCTCTGCTGATTTCTTACTTTCCTGCCACCTTCTAAAATTTAAATGCAACATCAATCACCATCTTCTGTCTTCCTAAATCCTGTTCCTGTATTGTCCTTTTCCTCACATCTCCTCACTAAAGTCTTCTCATTCTCTTTCACTCCTTGTAACTCCCTGTGGCATTATCACCTTGTTTGGGATGAAATGATAAAAAAAAAATCCAAAGATAAAGAAACACAAAATAAAGTCTATAAGTGAACATGAACAGGTCTTTTGCTGGTGTTTGAGATCAAGATTTAATATTCTGCTGTTGTTCATCTGGATCATAAAATCATGTGCCTGTTCCTAATATCAGATAGTTTTAGAACTGATTAGACTTGGTCACTAAAGATGATTGAAAAGAGGAGTGGATATAACTAATGTGTGGTGGCATTAATTTGACTATTTATTATAGAACATATTGGTAATTTTTGGTATATGTATAGATTTTATAAAACTAGACATTTTATTTCAAGGTTTTTAACTGAATACCTTATAAATTCCAGATTTTATCAATTACTCATAAGTGGAATATATTAGGTGTATTCAAAAATTCACAGTACTCTCCCTTTTTAACAATTAGAGATCAAATCCAAAGTAGAAAACTTTTTTTTTTTTGTTTTTTTTTTAATTAAAAAAAATGCTGGAAATTTTTGCCCTCACCTAATATTTAACATAAGGCAAATTGAAGGATGAAATACTTACCTAAAATTCCTCCAAAGTCAAATAGCGTTGATAGATAAGCAGACTTTTCAGCATTGTAATTAGCTGTTAAAAAGGAAATAATTTTCCAATTAAAAGTAGAAATAATAAAAATAAATAAGTAAAGAAAAACTCTAGTTTCTTTTGCAATATTAATATTTTAAATGTTTTTGTAAGTATAACACAATCAATTTTTCAAATAAAAAATCTGAGAAAAGATGAAAACTTTATAACACTAATTGAACATATAAAATCCTTAAAAAAAAAAAAAAAAAAAAAAAATACTACATATGCAGATAGATACAACCTTTAAAAAAAAATCTAACTCTAACCTTCTTTAAGACTAGCTAGAGTCATATGTCAACTTTATCAATTTGTATCCATAATAAAATAACTGTAATCATAAACTACTCTAAAAATTATGGTCAGTTTTTGGTTAGAAATTTAAAAAAAGAATTCTCAAATGCATCTTTCTGAAAAGTATCCTCTCAACAAAGTTTTATAAATTGCACAGAAGAAAAAAAAAGCTGATAACATTGTCATCAACTAACAAAGTAAAAAAAGTATTATATATGAGAGACCAAAAGTAAGAGTTAGTTTGTAAAATTTACAAATGGTGACTTTCCTTTATTGAAATATATAAAGCAAGAAGTGTTCTATTACATCTTGAGTATTGCTATATTTTGTGTTATATAAGTCATTTTCTTCATAAAATCACACTATATCCTATATGATGGTGGTTGGGTTTGGAAGTAAATCTACCATTAAATTTGTTTTTTTTGAAAAGGGTCCAAAGTAAAACACAAATCTTTCCTGTTTCTCTAATCTAGAAAATTACAGAATTATTCTATTCATGTTATAATTTTGAAGTGATTTAATCAAAAAATTCAATTCAAAATAAGTATGTTTATGAATATAACTGTTTAAGTGCAAATATGGATAGTTTATAATAAAATCAGAAATAGAGTACAATAAAGAGATAACAAGCCTAAAACTACCATAAGAAAATGAGATGGAGATACTAATGAATAGATCAGTACAGTCTAACCTTGGCTTTTGTATTAACTTTCATGAATTGATTTTTGCAGTTTGCTACATAAAACAATAGATGACATGTAGAGACTAGAAAACGGCTATAAAATGTTAAAAAGTTAAAAGAATTCTTAATAAGTCATAAATGCATAAAATATTTGAGGAATTATGCTTATAGAGAATTTTGAGACAGTGATGACAGATACTTGCTGCAAATAAATATTTCCCTGTTATAAAATGTAAAAGGTTAATTATTTTATTTTTAAAGTCAATGAAGTATTTAATTATTTCTGTTCATTCCCATTTCTGAGGACAACCATTTTATTTTTGGAAGATTTTTCATTAACAGAGTTACATTTCACTGTTGACATAATGATGGATTTAAAAAAAATCCATGTAAACACCAAACTTAAGGCAAAGAAAATTTTTACATCAGCTCTTTCTGACAGAAAATCAGACAGCAAAGACTATATTTTCTGATGTAAAACATGGAAGAGAGAATAAAGGAAAATAATTTAATCATAGTAATACAATAATAAATTTGTTCAATCCTTATAACTTTTATTCACAAGTCAGAAGACTTGTATCCAACAGCCACAAAGATCACACTTAAAAAGTGTCTGCTTTAAAACTGAGATAAATGGGACACCCATCAAAATCATTTGGTTATTGCACAACAAACAATTTGAAGGAAACTTGTGAAGAGTGAAATATTATTAAACTAGTTTCACAAACCATTTGTACAGAAGAAAGTATAATCCTCATGAGGTACTGAACACTTCTTATTGGCTTGTTAGATAATTGTGTATCTGCCATAGGTGTTAGTGATCAGTATCCAGATAAAATTAAAGACATCAAATGCTGCTTTTCAAGGCATGTAGGCTATTTTTAGATTTGCATAACAATTTTTCTAACTCAATAAGCCTTCATTTGTGCTATAATAAATTTAGTAAATATCAATAAAGGATTTTTCACATAGAAAATTTTAAAGTCTAGAGACATTTCTTTTTCCTTCTTTAAATCACTTATTTTACATCCACTTTATAAAAAGATCAATATCCTTTCTACAGCAATAGATCCCAAGTATTAAAGTATGTGGGAGTACTGTAAAGTTCTAAACCCAACCAACTTCACAAAATCTGAATGTAAAAACAGCAGATTTATTTGTGGAAGGGATTCTTGACTCAGTCATAAACTTTACAGCAGCCATAATAACCAACTTACATTAGAATGGCAAGAGGTCAACTTCTGAACAGAACAATTTTTATCCGCATAAATCCTTGACTTTTAATCTACCCATACACAAATATTGTATTTGCAGTGTTTTTAAGATGTTATTTTAAAATTATTTTTTAAAATGGTTACTAATAACAAAAAATTTTTTTTTTACTTTGGTTATATAAACATAAATGTTGATTTGCATAATTAATCATTTGATATTTCTGCAGAAACAATACATAACATTTTCAACTGAATTTTTAATTAATATTAAATACCTAAATTGCTTATTTAAATTTTACTTTGTAGCTTTAAGGGTGCGTGTGTTATACTCTCTGAACTCCAGAATTATAACAAAGCAGTATAAGCACTTAAAAAAAAAATATTTCCATATACTATCATCCAAAAATATGCATCATGTAAATTATAAAATTAAAGCGCTAATAATATTTTAGAAATTAATAGAAAATGAATTTGTTGTGTCGTGTATATTGCTAAGTAAGCGTTTGACCTCTGTTCTAGTTGGTGTCCGTTTATCATATGAGCTACCTGCTCATATGCAAATTATACTAATTTGCATCTCACTACATCTCCCTATAACGGAGGGGCCTTATGCCGCGAGTACTTCTTGTACTTCTTCTTGTGCCCTCCTGAACATCTTCCTTTATCTCTCTCCTTTCCCTTGGAGATCTAGATCTATCACGTCTTTCCCTATAATCGAACTGTTCTTCTTGCATACTCTGGTCTTTCTCTTCTAACTTGTCCAATTCTACTTCTTCCTCTTCTAACTCATCCCTCTCTACTTCTTCCTCCGCAGTTTCATTCTGCATTAACTCTTCTGTTCGTCAATAATGGGCATCTCTGAAGGCATTTCCTCATCGATTCTTCTCCTTGGGATCTTATTTGGTCAGCATGAGCTAGAACACTGTTCCCATTTTCTTTATTTAATATTGCAGTATTATGTCCTTTCTGCATAATAAATTCGGCTGACTCGGGTTGCATATTCCTATTTCTTTTGTACCACATCTTTTGATTTGTGGCATATGACATAGTCAAAGGGGACTTTAATTGTCTGCCCATTAAGGTAGATGGACTTTCCGGCCTGCCTGCATGTGGAATTGTTCTGTAACTTAATAATAGTCTTGGTAGAAAAGCATCGATTTCCTCCTTCTGTTGCAAGCATGCTTTTATGCCCTTCTTTACCGTCTGGACCATCGTTTCCACTGTCCCATTACTTTGAGGGTGGTAGGGAGGGGTCTTGTAAGGTCTGCATCCTATTTTTCTTAGCCATTCATGCAAATCAGCATCCACAAATTCTGGTGCGTTATCAGTCACCAATGTTTTCGGTGTCCCATTCCTCGAAAATATTACTCTTAATATTTGTTTTACGGTGGTACTTTTTTTTTTATCAGGTACTCTCACCACTTCAGGCCAACCTGAATATCGTCTACTAATATTAATAATAGTCCTATCCCATTGACATAGGCATGGTCCATGTGTACTCTGCTCCATGGTTCTACTTCTCGGGACCATACATGTATTTTCTTTTGCTTAAAATTCCTGAGTTCTGTGCATTTTTTGCATCTTTTTACGTAGTCTTCTATGTCTCTTGAGTACCCCGGCCACCACGCTTCCAATTTTAATCTTCTTTGCGTAGCTGCCACTCCACAATGTACGTCATCGTGTACACTTTTTATAACTGTCTCCTCTGTGTTTCTGGGGGAACTACCAAGTCTCCATTACATATTATCCCGTTTTCTATAGTCATTTTATGTCTGATTTCTTTGAATGGTCTTTCAGCCATTGAACAATTTCCCCAGCGATTCTGTTTTATCCTCGACATTATTCTATTCAACACTGGGTCATTTGTAGTTTCAGTAGCCATTTTATCTACAGATATTACATCGGTTTCTACAAGGTGCAAGAATGTGTCTTCAAATTCCTCGTCGTTTTTGTCCTTCTCCTCTCTATAAAACCTCAATCTAGATAAGGCATCAATGTGCGGTATCGTATTCCCTTTAACATATTCAATGTCAAAGTCAAATGCCATCAGTCTAATGCCCAATGTAATATTCTGGACGTTGTAACTTTGGTAGCTCTTTTCTTGGGTTGAAAATAAATTCAGTGGTCTGTGATCACTTTTCAACAAGAATTTTTTTCCCATCAAAAAAACTGTCTTGCTCTATCCGTTGTCCACACTATGGCTAGTGCCTCCCTTTCTATATTCGAATAATTGTGTTCAGTTGTTGTTAATCTCCTCGATAAGTACATTATGGGATGCCCATCTTGTGACAAAATACCAGATATGGACTGCTCACTAGTGTCAGTAGTTAGAGTTATGTCCTTCTTAGGGTCAAAAATTTGTACTATTGGCTTTTTTTTGCCAGAATCTGTTTTAAGTTTTCAAAGGCTTTCTGTTGATGTTCTAACCAAATGAATTCCACATTTTTTTTCTTAACTTAGCAAATGGTTCTGTCAACTCATTATATTTTGGTACATATTTTCTATAAAATTTACCAAACCTAAGAAGGACTCCAACTCTTTTTATTTTTTCGTGTAGCAACTTTTAGAATTTTCTCTATTAGTACTTTATCTGGAGAGATCCCTTCCTTTGATATTGAGTAACCCAAAATGATATTTCATTACTGTTGGTTACACACTTTTTGTATTTATTGTCATACCAGCGTCTCTTAGCGGTTCAGTATATTTTCAGTTTTTTTTCTTTAAATCATCTTCATTTAAATCTCCAACACATATATCGTCTTGATAACAGATGGTATTTTCAACATTTCCTATTACTTTTCAATAGCTTTTTAAAAATTGCACTTGCGTTTTTTTTATGTCATACGGCATTCTTTTCCACCTTAACAGGCCTATAGGTGTGTTTATGGTTGTCACTTCTTTAAAAATTTTCATTTATCGGTATTGGTGGTAAGCTGATTTTAGGTCTATCTTGAAAATACTTTCATTCCAGCAAGCTTATGTAAAGCTACTTCCACATTTGGAATAGGGTACGAGTCAGCACAAACTTTATGGTTCACCCCTATTTTATAATCTCCACAAATTCTCAGGTCACCATCTTTTTTTTTCAGTACCACAATGGGTGATGCCCATTTACTTCCTCCTGGAGGGCAGGTTCTAATAAGTCTTCCTTTATTAGCTTGCAATTAATTTAGCTATTACCAACGGTAATAAATGCACTAGTATTTTTTCTTCGTAGTAGTAGGGGGAAACATTTTCTTTTAATTTCAGGCTAGCTTCATAATTTTTTAATTTTCCTGTTTTTTCTATTTCTATCTCATTAATCAACTTCGTTGAATTTATTTATAACATGTCATTCCCCAGTAGTCCATGCGTATTTCGGCAATTTGTAACTATAATGGGTACTATTTCATATTTTTCTTTTAGTTCTATTGAACCTTCAAAGTAACCCATAATTGCTATAATCGAGCCATCAAACTGACGTAATTGTACGTTGGTTTTTTTTAAAAATGGTTTTCCCATTTTTTCCCACAAACTTCTGGGTACTATCGTGACCTCACTACCTGTGTCGATTTGCATTTCGACAATACAGTCGTTGATTTTCACTTTTATTTTTGTATCTCCATTCTTAGATCCAGTATTTTGTATATTATCCTTTTTTACATTAAAAATCTGTCTATTTTCATCCTCTACTCTTTCCACATTTTTCGTTTTACATACTTCTTTGAAGTGATTTTTTTTTAAACACTTTGAACACGTTTTTCCAAAGGCTATGAATTTTTCCACAGTACGCACAATTTTTTCTTTTTGTTTGTACTGTACATGTTTCAGCCATTATTTCTTCGTAGGATTTATTTTTATTTTGGTTGTAGGTATGTATTAATTCTATACACATATTCAAAGGCATGTTTGTAAGTTGTAACTGTTCCATTAACTTATATCTATGTGCTGAATTATGCATACCTTCAATTAATCTTAGTTGGATTAATTCTTCTTCCGTTGTCTGCTCTCCTGTTCCTAGTTTTTCAAATTCACAGTATTTACTCGCACTTCTTAACCGGTGTAAATATTTTACTATCGGTTCATCCACTTCCTGCTTCATTGCCATAAACTTGATCCTTTCTACAATCACCAGTCTTTTCTTTGGCCTCATGTTTCCCTTAATAACCTGACTTATTTCTTCGAAAGTCATTTCTTCTAGTTCTCGAGGGTAAACCATTGTAGCAACCTTCATAATCGCTTCACAACCAGCGGTAGCCATAAACAAGTTGGTGATTTCATTTTCCCTTCCTCTGTTTTTGTTGTCTTTCAACTTTTTACATCTTGCATTAGCAGCAAAGCAACGAATCCATGTATCTAAAGAGTATCCTATTGGCGACGCCATTTTTGTGTCGTGTATATTGCTAAGTAAGCGTTTGACCTCTGTTCTAGTTGGTGTCCGTTTATCATATGAGCTACCTGCTCATATGCAAATTATACTAATTTGCATCTCACTACAGAATTATTGCTGCAACCAATAGTGTGCAGAAGGGTAGGTACAGAGGGTACGATTGCATCTATATCAGGAGGGCAATCCAATCAACAAATGAAATAAAAAATTTAGTTTATATTTAATTTGAATAAAGTGTTTATTTCATGTTTCATCTGTTTTTACATATTTAAAATATCTTCTTTTCTCACATTTCTCAGTACTAGGTTCTATATGCCCACCCCTTTTTGAGTCTTATGAGCATATAATCAAAGAGTTGTTCCTGGGCATCACCCAATGTTTGCATGTCATTAGCTGCAACAGAAATAGAGTAAAAAAAAAAAAAAAAATTTCTTCAACATACACTCATATAATTTTTTTAAAAACAAAAGACAAAATTAATATTAGAAAAACAAGATATGAAAATTAAGGCAACCCCCCCCACCACCACCACCAAAAAAACCTTGTCCTCGTACACAATATTATTAAAATGAAATGAAATACATTGAGGTAAAAGTCAAAATTTCAACTGAGACAATACTTTTTTAACTTATGAACTTTAACTTCTAACATACCCAAATCTGTGATACGGCTTGTGGTATAATACTTTTCAAATTAATCTCAGCATATTTATAGAGAACAAATCCATTTTTAGCACATTTCTTTGAAAGTGTTATTTATTATACTAACAAGTCTTTTTTTTAATCTTTGAACAGTATTCATTGTAAAAAATAACTGAATAGAAAATGGAGCAAGCAACACTGAATGATCATCTTATTTGCTATTTCAAAAAATAAGTAGAAAAATAATGTATGCCTGGTTGGGTTTGCACAATCTAAAAGAAGAGTTAAAACAAGAAGCTCATGTAATAGATTAAGAGGCTTGATGTAGTCTATTACATCAGAGTTGAAAACTGATACAATTATGTAATACTGGAAGACAAGCAATTTCTTTCTTGTCAATTTTCAGGATTAGAAGTAGCATGGCCAGCTGCTACAGCATTTTATCAATGAGCCCAAATATATAGCAGTAGCTAAGGTTCACAAAAAAATTAAATGAATAGCACACACATTTGGAATCTAATAGAGTGAGATTTATTTAAACCACGGAAAAATAAGGATTTTGAGTCATCGAAAGTTGGATACTGCATACAATGAAATGTAAGTATATTCATTTTTATAATTAATTTTCAATTACATTTGTTTTGCAGTTTGTGTGTGTATATATATATATATATATATATATATATATATATATATATATATATATATATAAGTATTTAGATTTTGATGCATTTAATGAAATCATTTCCCAGTTTTCATCCATGTTATAGGAGTAGTTAGGTTCACCTATTGTCTGGTTGACACTCTTCCCCTGTCTTTTGAACAGGAGTAGAGGTTTTTTCCTAGTTTCCCCATTTAGAATTGGGTTTCCAGTTCTTTCTAAAGTGTACTCCAACCCTATACTCTTAATGTCTTCACCTAAACTCCGAAATTTTATTTACTATTTATTTATTTTTTCCCAGTAGTAGGTAGCTTTGCCTATTGTCCAGTTTACACTCCTCCCTGGTCTTTTGAACAGGAATAGAGGTTTATTCTTTGTTTCATGTTTAGGATCATTTTCTTTCACTCCCAGTAGCCCCTTGCATCTTAGTGGTATGATCAGCTTGCTTGGGGGGTGAATTGATTAAAAAAATAAATATATGTACTAGATTGCACAAAAATTATTTCAAAAAATTCTTTCACAAATTTTGAAACTACCAGTGTCTCTCAATCATGCACAGGTGTAGTCACAACAATGTCAACAAACCAGTCCAACAAAGTCCTAATGGATGAAATGTACCACAAGTAAACTTTTTCCATCTAGTCTTATAATTTCCCCAGTACTGTTCTTGACACACACACACATATATATATATATATATATATATATATATATATATATATATATGGTTGCTGAAAAGTTAACAACTTAACCAAGAAGGGCTTGAAAAAAAGAATAACTTTTGTTGTTTGGTCATTTGGTCAAATTTTGTGAGCTGGACCAAGCTGATAAATTCAGCATCTCAGTGTATGTGTACATATACACACACAAAGTTTCATTTGATTAAAACTGATTGACAAGTACTTTCAGTTTATTTTTTTATTACAGTACAGTGTAACCCAGATATAAGAGAGTTGTCGGGACCGGAGAAGAAGTCTCTTATATCCGGGTTTGGTCTATTTTGTTTAAGTAACACAGGCTCTAATTTGGGACCAGAGAAAATCTCTCTTATATCCGAGTTTCTGTTATATCCGGGTTACACTGTATTAGTTGATTTTACAAAAACTTGTTTGAATTAATTCTTGTTGCTGAAGTATATATCACACACAAAAGGAGTCAATAATTATCTGCACTTTTGTTATATTTTTTTCATTAAGTACTGAACATGTGTGACAATATTTAAATCATTAACATATGCTAACTGGGTACCCCATTGCTGTAGCCTTGTAGCAGACTAAACTTGGCTTAGTATATAAGTTAGACATCTCATTATTGGGAAATGTTTGGTAAAATAGGCATGCAGACAATTACTAGAGGTTTATAGTAAATTTGACGAACTTGTGATTAAGGGTTTCGTAAATTTGTATTCAAAACTTGCAATGAACAACTACCTTCTTCTTCAACAAAGCACCAAGACAACCACCTACTGTCCAAAGTGGGGTTCTTTTATTTGGGTAAGAAAGGTTATAATTGGTTGACAGTGGTAGGGATGTGCAAACAATTACCATATTTCAAGACCTACTAAAGTCAATCCAATCTTATTCTTAATTTCTTTTTTTGACAGCACAGTGAACACAAGTTCTTTTTTGAGGTAAGATGGTCTTCTTCATTGCCATACTCTGCCCGGATCTCATGAGTTGCCAGGCTCAGAGCTGTCTGCTCTTGAGGACAAATTGGATGCATTTCTAATGATGACTAACCTTTCACTGTCTGAGGACACATTGCTTCTCTGACAGGTTAAAATCCACAAAGCGGCACAAATCCTTCACATGGCATGGTATTCCATTGATAAGAATATTGTGCAATGATTCCAGTGACTTCTTTTTTGATATTGTGTCATGCACTGTGGGGTATAAAGCTTACCCTTTATTTTGTGCCAGTAGAGTCATCACGTCAATGCCCCACAGCCAAACTTGATAGTGGCATATCAATTGGCAGGCATAGTTGAGAGTGATAAATCGTCTTTGTGGCATGACATATCAATAAACTGCCTACATTATTGAACACCCACTTCCTGGTGGCAATTCACTTGATGCTCTGATGACACCTCTCTACTATCCTGTTGCTGAAGGGGACATACATACTGCAAAACCATAGGTGGATCTGCTACTCATCCAAAAAATCTTTAAGTAGTTTACTGTGGAATGCAGTGTTGTCATCAGTGAGAAGTTCAGCTGGGGGACCCTGTACAGCTTTCAAATGGTCACTTATACTGGTTAATTCCTGCCAATACAGCTGTCGCCAAATTGTAAACTGTATGGGATTGCAGTCAATAAATCAGATAGTTTGTGCCATTGTAATGAGTAATTTCCATCCTCACTTGACTCCATGTGTCATCACATCTAATTCCCTTTTTTTACTAGCATGTCAATGATAGATCAATAGTCTGGCATTCCTGGCATCACCTAAATCACAGCCTTTATGGCCACTGTAGACACTACAAGATCAATTTGTCTTGCAAAGTAGAGGGTTCTTTAATGTCAGGATGCCCACTTTGGCAATGAACAAACTTTATTTAATCTGGACCACACTTGCTCACTGATGTTGCACAGACATGTTGCATGAGCTCAATCTCTTTTCTTATGTTGAGCCATCTCTGCAGGAACCCTCGTCAGCTTATCTGCTTGGTTTTGATTTGATTTTACCAGCATGTCATCTATTGATAAGCTATACTCATCTACCAGCTTTTCTAGGGTGTTAAGCTGCCTCGTAATGAGCATTTCATTTGCTGCTTTTGTATGTATCAGGGCCTCCCCAGGGAGAGTGTCTGAGATCCATTCACAAACACACAGAATCCTTCTATACGACATAACAATCTAGTAGTTTTTTCTTTATTTCTAATTAAATTTTTCTGTTTATTAATACTTTGATTAACTTGTGGAAGATATATTTTGCTATTGCAATTCATTTTCAGTGTCACATTTTCCATCCTCTTTTAAAACAATTTCTAGATATTTAAATTTTTGTAATGGTTTCATTTTGGTGTTCCCAATTTGTAGTTTGCATGTAGAGATCCTTTTGCTGACAAACATGCATTGTCTTACAATTGTTGCTTAGTCCTTTCTTCTTACTTTCCTTTATTACCTTCTGTAAGAGTACCTGTAATTTACTTTATGTGTCTGCTATCAACACTATGTTATCTGCATATCTTATATTGTTCAGATTGTGGCCACCAATAATAAATCCTGGTAGGACTTCTAATTGTCACGGAATTGACTTGCTATAAAGGTTGAATGTCCAATGAGAAGACAGATCCTTGTCTTACACATCTTTTGATTTTTGTGTAGTTACTGAACTCATTTTCTATTCGTATGCAGGTGGCTTGTTTCCAGTATAAGTTCTAGATTGTTCTAATATCCTTCCCAAACTTGACCTTGAAGAGTGTGTATACAGAAAGCATTAAAATGAACTAAATGAGAATGAAAATTTAAAGTGGTACACATTAAGTGAAGCATTAGTAACATCAGCAAATAAGATCATCTATAAGTAATATGATGAAAAGACAGCAAACAATGCCAAGGTATGGCACAGAATATAGGACATTGCACAAAGAAATTAAACACAAATGTAGAATGGCAAAAGCGATATGGATCAAGAAAAAGTGTGTTGAAATAGAAAGAATTAGCCTCACAAATAGGGCAGGCTTACATAAAAGAATAAGAGAAATAACAAGACAAAAGACATGCTTGTCATCAGAATGTATAAAATCAAAAAACAGAACACTGATATTAGAAAAAGAAAAAGTACTTCAAAGAACAAATATATCAGAGGCTTCTTCCATGATGAAAGAGGAAAACCCACAATAAGCAAAAATATTGAAAGACTAGAAATATTAAAGTCTGAAGTGAAATCAGCACTGGACAAATTGAACAGGAACAAGACAGCAGGACTAGATGAAACTGTAAGGGAGATGTTGGAAATGATGTTGGAGAGGATTTTGGCATTGATAAAATTACAGACATTTTAGATGCCATATACAACAGTGGTGATATACTGGAAGATTTAAGTAGGTCCATTTTCATAATACTGCCCAAGAAGCCAGGTGCAGATGAATGCAAACACCATTGAACAATCAGCCTAATGAGTCACATGACAAAACTTAAGATCTAAATTCTGATGAACAGTGTGTGCAGCAGAATCAGACCAGAAATAGAATAAGGACAGTGCAGGTTCATTAAAGACACTGGGAAAATGAACGAGATATTTATACTCAAAATGACATCTGAAAGAGCAATATAAATGCCAAAGTACATATAACTGTTAATGAGTGATAGTGATGTTTAAATTCCATTTGCAGTCTCATGCACTGAGAAACCTCTAGTAAGTGATAGTGAAACGCTAAAATACTTCAACATTTTTACAAGTGAAAGGTGAAATTTTAAATGAAAGAATGCCTGCAATTATTTTAACAGGAAAAACAAAGTGAAGAGGAACTAAAAATGAAGAAATATCTCAAAGTTATCTGTATAAACTTTCTTTCATTGTAAGCCAATGCAGTATGAGAAACCATGTTTTTTTGTTGCTTGCTTACCTTTTATACTACAGTTTTGAAAATCTGACAAATCAATGGCAATAAAATCAAAATGCAAATAGACACAATCTATTTATGGTTACATGGACATCTTAATGTGACTTTTGTTGTTTAAGAAATATCTTCTAGTTTAAGCATTTTGTGTGAATGAGTTTTCATCAATATGCAACTGCTTTTGTATATTTCTTATTTATAAGTTCTATTCATCTACTTGAGTTCTAAATTCATTGAATGAATGATTTATTTTCTATGGCTTATCAACCTTTAATATATTATTTAAAGCCAGCGAATATTTTTAAATTGTAAGAATTTTTTGAGATAATAATTACTTACTGATACAAGTCCTACTAATTAATCCATAGCAGGAGGGGGTGAAGAGGTAGATTTATACCTTTCCCAAGGGTATTTGCATGTTAGTAAATATAACAAAACCAACTGGAATTGAAACTCAGCTCTCTAATTTCCAATTCTGAACCATTATCCATTACACCATTCATGCATCCAAGCTTACAGCACCTGATATTCCCAAGTAGTCACCTATCTAGGTACTGACCAGGCTCAATGTTGCTTAACTTCAATGATCATATGTGATATGGCCATAAGCCTTCTTAATTCAGGGATGGAACAGATCAAAAACTTGGATACATAGGAGATTAAGATTAAGAGAATATCAATGAAGCTCATCAAATGTAACCTCAATCTATCTTAGTGAGGATCATTTTTCTAAATTAATGGATATGAATATAAATTTCCATTTAGACTATTTTTATTGTTAACGTTTTTTAATATTTTTTTTGTAAAATAAAAAGACTTATTTACAACCTATAAATCTTTCTAAATATACGAATATGTCATATGTCAGTATATCTTAATATTATTTTCCTTTCTACTGATGAATATATAATGAACAATGATAAGCCAATATTTCTTCAGATTTCTGCTGGCATTCATTTTGCACACCTATTGCATTAGAGAAACATGCTGATGGAATAACACACATTTGAATAAAAATGAATGTGAGATACATACTTTCATGGTTTATATAATTCGGAAGCCAAAACAGGAAGGTGTAGCTTATAAGTTTGGCAAAAAATAAGCACAAAGAAAATTCAACAACACCCTGAAAATAGATAAAAGATTCTAGAGTTAGGAAAAACCAATATTCAGAGAAAGGTGAAGTTGGCAATTTGAAAAAGACTAAGTTTAGAAATTAAAAGGTAGAGGGAGAGAGGAAAAAGAAAAGAAAAAGGAAAAAAATTCATCTAGTATATAAATAGCATTTTTTCTATGTGTGTGTATTAATTATATTAATATCATGCACAAGAAGTCTCAGAAGTGGGATTCCTCACTGGAATAAATTTATCAGTTGTTGAAAATACTTAACATTGCTGTTTGAACATTGAAAATCTTAGTTTTGGGTTTTTAATTTTATGGTTACAACTTTAAGAATCTGAAGTCTTGTTTCAAATGTATTCAACAATTGATGTGAAGATCTTGCTTGTAAGATACTTCATGTTTGATGGTTACCAAGTTTTAGAGTATATATCAGGTTAGTAAAAAATAAATGGGTGTTTTGAATCACAAATTTTAAAATGTCAGCTAAAAAACACAAATTTATTGGTCAATGTAAACACCATTAGAATAGATTGTTGTCAATGATCAAGTACTGAATTCATTCCATTGTAAAAAAAACTTACAAACTGCAGGAAAGCATTTTCAGTCTGACCTGCATTAATCTATACTTGCTGGTAAATTATATATAAGGTCTAGAAAAAGTGGTAATCAATAGGGAACAGGTTGAGAATATAGAAAGCATGGGACAGGGCATTCATGTTTAACTGCATCTGTTTGTTGTGTGTGTGTGTGTGTGTGTGTGTGTATATATTTTTATCTATTAGTTCTAAATCAATAGTAATCTCTATAATAAATGCAAATGTCAGTGTGTCACTTTGTCACACTTTTCCAACTTTACTCCCAGAGGCCGTAGCCCAACATATCATACCATTTTGAAATCAGGCTGACTGTGATCAAATTAAAAGTTTCTGGGCTGGATTCAGACCTGCAATCATGAAATTATTGAATTACTGTGATGGTTTTTGTATTCTGCCATCTTGTTTCTACTGATAAAAGCAATTAAAAAGGACAACTCGCTAACTTTCAATAGCTCATGTTCAAATGAAAAAAATTACTGTTCTCAAATTAGTGTTTCAAAATAAAATTGTTCATGTTTTCAACTTTACTCCTAAAAGCTACCATTTTGGAATCAGGATGACTGTGAGTAAATTAATCCTGAAATTTTAAATTACTCAAATTTTCATTACTGCAATTTTTTTTTTTTTTACATAATTTTTTTTTGACAATTTTTTTTGTATGATTAAAATTTTTATAACTTGGAAGTAAAATGGGAATAATCAAAATTAATTGCAAAATCCAGCAAAAGTCACCCATTGTCAAACCAGGGAGTAGCCACTTCTGAATTTTCTTAGCTCTTTCTGCCAGATATTTTCTGATTGTTATATGGGCTGATGTTTGATTTGGAACAAATCTACAGTTACCCTTAATTCTTCATTATTGAGTGAGGAGTTGTAACCAAAATCAAGTACACCTTAAGGTTCCAGATCACCAGAAACAAATTTCTGAAACCAATGATACACAGTCAGTTTTGATCTGATTTTAGCCTCTAAGCACAGTTGATACCTGAGTGTCTTTGGCAGCCAATAGCTGAGTTTGAACTCATGGAATATAATATGAAAATTGCATTTATTAATTTTTGCTTCACTAACCTGCATAGAAGCAATAAATTAAATTAATTCAAATACAATATTGGAAAGAGGAAACACAGAGTTTTAAAATTATACATAGATGTATACACAAATAGAATGAAATTTTGTTCTAACCTAATATATACACAGAAAAGAATCTAGCCGTGCACAGGTTTCTAAATATCTAAAATGAAAATAACGACATGTGTGCATTATACTTTGTATCAATTGCTTAGAAAATGAAAACATGCTGACATATTTCAGTTTGTTAAAGAATTGTTACTGTTAAGCAATTAAGAAAATAAGTCTATTTTAATTTCATAAAGATAAAATAGTGTTAAAATTGCTAGGTCTGCTGCTAAGTTGGTTCACTGTGTCATGCTAGACAATTTTTCTTGCCAGAATCTAACATATTTATAAGTCTACTATCCATGCATTGAATATTGTTCCCACATCCGGTCTGGTGCTTCTCCTATGTTTTTAGAAATTCTTGATAAAATCCAAAGAATTTGCAATGTGTAATGCCAACCTGGCATCTTGGCTTCGGTCATTTTCCAACCACTATAATGTAGCTTTGTGGCTTTTCTATAAATATTTTCATGGTAATTGTTCTGATGAACATTCCTCTTTGGTACTTAGACTTTATGAATTTAAGTGCAATAATAGATTGTGGCAAAGTCTCATTATTTTACTACTGAAATGGCTAGATGTAACCATAAGTTCTATGATAAGAGTTTCTTCTCTTGCAATTCTCATTTGTGGAACTCTCTTCTGGCTTCTTGCTTCCCAGTCAACTTTGATCTTCAAAAATTTAAATGCAATGTCAATCATTATCTTTTGTCTTCTTAATTTCTGTTCTTTTATTGTTCTATTTTTTTTTTCTTATAATTGTAACTGCTTGTGGTTTTATTGCCTTACTTGGGGTGAAATGACAAAGAAAAAAGTGTTATTTAAACAAAATAAATATATACAAAGAAATATAGAACCTAAAATTAAATTCTTATAATTTTTAAATTTAAAAAAATAACAAAAATAATCCACTTTTCAAAATACTGCACTAAATTAGATGATGCATATGAATTCTTTGCAATTAAAGACTTTTCAATTTCAAAAGATATCATTTATTTCTCAGTTTGAACTGTGCTTGTGAAATTCATTTTTTATGCAGCTAACTGCTTAGTCACCAAACATCATAACTGATATTTTTTTAAAAATAAATAAATGATTAGCACAGACACACATAATTAGGATGCTTCCAGTCATGTGGTATGGCCTTTTAACAATTTGGTCAGATGTAGCAGTTTTAACCCTAAATTGATCTATGGTGATTTCAGTGGTCAGCATCAGCTCTTATAATTGAGCCATTTAGAAGACCACATGAGATATACAAGCAAATAATCACTATCTAGATTGGATTGTTTTATAGTTATAGTATCTATATTTATGTCTCTATATAAAATATATAGATATTGAACACATTAATAAATCCATCATAGCCCAATAATGAAAAAGGCATTTATTTTATACAAAATAGCTATTTTTAAAAACACAAGTTTCAATAATCTTTGTCAAAGTGTATAATTCAGTGCTGTATCAACCAAATATTATATGGTGAAAAGTTCTGAACAAAATTCTGCTCATAATTATCAGGCTACGGATTTATCAATACACCAACATCATATATATATGTGGACACACAAATACAAATAAAAATAATTTGAAATTTTAAGCTTCTTAGTAAAATTAGGAAAGAAAATTAAGTAAAAATGGTCATGGCAGGTATTTAAATCAAGTTAATATCAATTAAATTTGCTCATTAACTTATGTAACTTCCTGAAGTGCTGAGATTGATTTTGAATAAATTTTGATGTACTTTGCACATTGCCATAGTTTGTTGACTGGTGTATCTTTTAAAATTATGAGCTAAAGAAACATTGTATTAATAGAAACTTGACAGCAAGATCTAGCCTATAAACATATGAAAGTTTGACTAATTACTTGTTTCATGGATATATGAAATAATTCCATCCAGGACAGAAAATCCTAATTGTAGTAGTAAAATGTTTATAGATAATTCTAAGTTTAGTGTTATTGTGCACATTGCTTAAAGAATATCTGATCATAAAAGAAAGAAAAGAAAACAAGAAAGAAAAGAAAACAAGAAAGAAAAGAAAAGAAAAAAAGAAAGGAGAGAAAGAGAGAGAAAGAAAAGAGAGAAAGAGAGAGAAAGAAGAGAAAAAAGAGAAAAAAAGAAAGAAAAAAGAGGAAAAGAGAAAGAGGAGAAAAAAAAAGAGGAAAAGAGAAAGAAGAGAAAGACAAAAGAGAAAGAAAAGTGAGAAAAGAGAAAGAAAAGAGAGAAAAGAGAAAGAAAAGAGAGAAAAGAGAAAGAAAAGAGAAAGAAAAAAGAAAAAGAAAAGAGAGAAAAGAGAAAAAAAAGAAAAAGAAAAGAAACAAAAGAAGAGAGAAAGAGACAAAAGAAGAGAAAGAAGAGAGAAAAAGAAAAAAGAGAGAAAAAGAAAAAAGAGAGAAAAAGAAAAAAGAGAGAAAAGGGAAAAAGAGAGAAAAGGGAAAAAGAGAGAAAAGGGAAAAAGAGAGAAAAGGGAAAAAGAGAGAAAAGGGAAAAGGGGGGGAGAAAAAAGAAAGAAAGAGAGAAAAAAGAGAAGGGGAAAGAGAAGGAGAAAAAAAAAGAAAAGAGTACTTACAGGTATTTTTAGAGCACCCCAAAAGGAGATAGCTTTCTTGTTTTCCTGATTTCCAGACTCTTCACTGCTTTGTCCAGATCCCAGCAGAGGCTGCAATAATATTTTGAAGATTAATAATTATAATTTCGTTAGGAAAATGGAATACATGATTAAACAAAAGCCTTTTTTTCTCTAGAATGTTTAAAAAGCTGTTTCTATTGTGGCATATGAACCTTTAAAACGTATGTAACTATCTAAGGGAGACAACTCGTGTATATTGATTTTTTATTTTACATCAACATTTTCAAGTTATCGCTTGACCTAAAGTTACAGTTAATTTATCTTTAGTTTGTTAGTATGCAGAGAAAAAAATTAGGAGGCTATCAAGAATGTTGATATATGTGTAATGATATATGAACCTATATTTTAATGAACATATTCAAATTAAATAGTTTATAATGCTCTTCTAAAGTGTCTGAAATATAGGGAAACTACTCGTGCAAAATTAGCCTCGCCATATAATTGTAAAAATTAAAATCTGACAAAGTTGCTACAGAAATAGTCAACACTATTTTTCATTCATTTAGAAGTTTTCTCAGCTTGTTTCTTGGTTATTTTGTTCATACATGAATAAACTAGTGAACAACAAAACCTGATTTAAGAAATTTAAAAAAAAAGATGAATTTTACAGTATTAAATAAACTGGTCCACTCATAAAAAACATACAAAATCTTAGCAAATAATTTATGTAGACTAACATTATTAGACATTCCTTAAGCCATGGTACTTGACAGAATCCAAAAATATTGATTTAGATGGGTGGATCCTGTTTATAATATAGACACAGCGTTAGATTGATCATTGACTTTTACAGTTGTTGGCATTTAGCTGTTTTATGTACAAAGAGACTTTTTTTGATGATTTTTTGCACAAAGATTTCTCTTAAATAATAAAAAAACAAGCAACATGGATATATACATTTTTAAGTAAAGAACAAAAATGTACATAAATTAAGAAAATTATGTATCCATTTATTAAGATAAATAATTATGGACCTCAAACTGCACTTACAAAAAAAAAAATTCACAAAAAAATTTTAAAAAGTGTATAAAAAAGTTTGAAAGAGGTTACAAAAATTAAAAAAATATGCAGATATCAATGATGATAGATTTTCAAAATTTACATTTGTAAATAACAGTTAAGTGACTTAGCTAAAGGCCAGTAACTCTTGAAAGTCAGGGATCAATTTAACATTATCGATATTATAAACAGAATCTCTCTTCTAAAATCATAATAAATCAATATTTTTCGATTTTGACAAGTGTCGTGGCCTAAGGAAAATCTAAAGAATGCTAATCAACAAATTTTTTACCCCCAAATTTTCCTCATTTTGAGTAGACTAGTCTATTTAAATAGTGCTGAATTTTACTTTACTATTTATGACACTCTTAATACACACACACACACACACACACACACACAATAGTGGGTCTGCATCTTGTTCAGTTCTGAACATATAGGGTTTTATAAAATTTCTCCAAAATCTTTAAAATTCTTAGCATACTGTTCCACATGAAGCCACATCATTCCATATAAAAGGAGAAAACTAATTTCTTCCACTATCATTCTTTTTCTGATCTTTCTCCCTTATATTAAAAAGTTCCTAAATTCCTTGCTGAACACATTATTTTTGTAGCATTTCTCCATTGTGCAGTTTTCCTGTAAAACTTTTTTCTGAAAAATAGCTTAAAGAAAAAAAAAAGTATGACAGTAAATAACAGTGAGCTTAAGAAGATGAGAGAAATGTTAAGTCTGCAACAAAAGCTGTAAATGTTGGCTCAGTTGATACGCATATCAACAGCCAAAGTAACAAGGAAATGAGTTTAGTATTTATGTGATAAAACAAGTAATGAAATTCACAGAAGTGTAAGTTTTTTGCCTGCAATGGCATAAATGTTGTCTCAACAACAATAAAACATTTGTAAAGAGTGAGAAAGCATTAAATGAGCAGCTAGAGAATATGGTGCAGAATCAAGTCCTTGTTGATGAAAACAATCTGCATGAAAATGTGTTTAGCCTATATGAACATTAGAGTGGGGGGGTTGATGAAAACATGAAGGAGTTTAAAGCTAAGATATAAAATATAGAAATCTTCATAAAGTATTACAACCTTAAAATTGCAAAAAGACTGGAATCAGCTGATACAGAAGCAGCATTGAAGTATCCAAAACACCTCAAAAAGTAAACAAGGATAGCATCAAGAGGAAGTTTTCCATTGTGATGAAATGGGCTTTTTCTAGAAGAAAATGCTAAATCATACATACGCTCATAAGAGTGTTAACCAAGTCATCAGATTTAAGGCTTAGTAGGATTGTCCTACTCTGGAGCAGTCGATCATATGATCAAATCAGGTTGAGTGTGCAGAACTAACAATCCCTGCACTTTTAAGAACAAAAGCAAATATATGCTGCTTGTGTTCTGACAACGCAATAAGGTGATTAAAGTTGTAGTCATTTTGTTTCTCAATTAGTTCAACTACTGCTTTACACCAGAAGTGTAAAGATACCTCAAGAAGGGGTTGTCATTCAGTGTTCTTATCAACAGTGCGCCTGGTCATCTTGAAGATGAATATGTTGAAGTGCTGTTTTTGCCTCTAAAAACAATGTCACTGCTGCAGCCACTTGTTCAAAGCATCTTAAAGTGTATGAAAATGATGTCTGATCCTTGCCAGAATTTGTGTTACACTTGATTCTAATCCAGATTGCAGTATCATGCATTTACAGAAGAGCTTCAGAATTGCAGATGGAAAGAATTTATTGCTGAGGTAGTTAATGCTAGCTATAAGGTAGGCAATGGAGCAAGGCAATCAAAGAGTTCAAGTGAAGGAGATTTTGCAAGTCATCTGAGAAATTGGTAGTAAAAGCTTCTTGAACATAATCAAGATGGTAAACAACATATTGGAAGGCACTAAGAAATTCTTACAGACAAAAGCCTGGAAGAACTACAGTAATTGACAGAGGAGGACAAAGAAACTTAAGCAGAAGGTCAACCCATTCATCATTGAGGACACTGTAAAACCTCCCAAAGTTTTAAAGGATATGACCAAGATAATGACCTTTTGATATAATTAAGTCTATCAGCCACATGATTACAGCTGATCCAGAGCTACTATAACAATTGTTTGACAAAGTTATGAAAAAGAAGCAGCAACTTTCCATAATCATTTATTAATTTTTAAGCCAAGAAATTTACACTTGTGAAGCCTCATTCCACTTCCCAAGATTCCAGTGAACTTAATGTAATACCTCCTTCAAAATATCAACATACATAGGGTCTTGAATAATATAGGAGGGGTGGAAATTAGGGAACCAACAGACCACATAAAATGCAGACCTACTGTCATTATATATATATATATATATATATATATATATATATATATATATAATTTGTTTTGCTTAAATTTTTTTTTAGATGGATACTCATATTTGAGTAAATGCTTTGTTTATTTAATTAAACTGTGTTTTCATTTAATTACATTTGCCAGCCTGAATATTTCAGAAATCTTGTCAGAAATTGTGTGTCTTTCAGTAGGATTCGAACCTGTTTCCCCTATGAAGAACTGTCATTAGAGTTGACGTACTTAACTGTTCGGCCATATAAGACTTCAGTTTCAATAACAAATATGAGGATCCATCTAATATAACGTTTAAGCAAAACAAATTAAAAATATGTTGAATTTAATCCATTTCATAATTTAACTTTTAAAGATTATAATATAAAAAAAAAAAGAGTAAGGGAACCTATTTAAGTCATTTATGAATGAATTATAAACAAAAATTACTCCTTACTTTGCAAACTGAAAAGAAAGGATATCATAAAAACACATTTAAGAGTACAAGGATCCTAACAAATTCAAGTAAATTTAACCTGTATTATTATACTATTATTTTTAACAATCTTTGCGGTTCATGAACATGTAGCATATTAGCTACATTGATATAAAGTTTACACTATTTACATATGGACTATTCCTAATTTTAAAAATAAAAATACCTAATATTGTTTATACACAAGGAGGTCCTGAAAAGTTCTTGGCCTCATTCACTTTCTGAAATCTGATCAAATGACCAAACATCAGAATTTTTTGGAATCCCTTCTTGGTTGGGCCAATGTCTTTTCAGCACCACATCATATCTAAGTGTGGATAACAAATTTAATAAGTGTTTTTAGAGTTGAGAGAATAGATAGCCTCTTTTGTATAATTTAGAAAGAGAGAAAAAACAAGCTGTTATTAGCTGCAACCACCACCATCACATTTATGCTTAAAAGAGAAGCAGCAGTGAGAGGAAGTGAAGAAGCAGTAATCATGAAAATAGCAAAGTGATTTTGAAAACTATTTGACTTAATCAATATTAATAATAATTTTAGTGTTATATAAGCAAATGAACGGCTTGATGAAAGAAAAAATTCTTAAGCAGAAGCAGCCAATATAGATTTGCTTGAATAATTATTAGGGGTTAAGATGATAAACTGAATAACAATTTATAAAGATACTTAAATATTTGAGAAATTTTAGATTGCTAATTTTATTTCTCTTCAACAGATTATATCCAACTGAAATTTTTTGAAAAGTGATAAATTTTAAAACATTTACAAAATGTGTCAAAAAAGATGAATTAGAGAAATTTCAGTTTTCGGATATTCAATACATGCATAAGCCATTTTGAGGCTATAGTGATGAACTGTTCATGGTTAACATTTTCCACTTATCAAAGTAACAACATTTATGAACATCTAAATGACCTTTTAAGAAAACTAGTCTTTGACCCTTGCATGGATTAGAACAACCAGGCAGAATCAATATCTGCATGGATATGATGCTCATACAACTTAATTGTTCCCACCCTAATATCTACCTTATATGTTCTGAAATTCACCTCATAGGAGCCAATCATTTTTTGTTTTTTTTTAAGGGCATTAATGAAAGATATAATACTTAAGTAGAATCAAATATATGACGTTGCATTTATACACTATACTGATGAAACAAACAATGGTGGCAAAGTTCACTCAGCTGGCAGGTCATATTCTAGATTAGCATTTATTGGTTTCTCCCCAATATATTTAGATAGCCAATTTTGTGTTGGTTAGCAGAAGTTATCCTAGTTTTTATCAAGGAACAAGATGACTGCCATTGTCTCTGAGCCAGGAATGGCAGGTTGAGTAAAAGCCTTTTTGAAACTTGGTGTTATCTTGAAGTAACAACAGGCAATTATTAATCAGTTGAGGGTTTATTTCTTTGTTCAATATTTTAGTTAACTGGTAACTATGAGAGTATATGTATGTTTATATTCTTGGCTAATGCTTCTATCTGGTTAGGGCAAATTGTTTTTGTTCAGACAGGGCATGAACACAAATTGTTTACAACACTACCTAAACAAACAATGGGGCAAAATGGATAACTTGGATTCATTCAGAAGACAAGTAAGCTGCCCACCTGGAGATGGGGATGGATGGTGCACTCATGCTCTTATGGCAAGTGGACAAGCTTTCTTTTAAGTTAAATTTGACTTGACTATAAGTTGGTATCAAATTGTCTATAGTTGGGGGTGGTGTTTGTGTGTGAAGACACACATGCTTCACCAGGACAGATCAGAGAACACTTAAAAAAAAAAAAAAGAAGATAACATTGGCAAATTAAAAACTGGCTATTAAGAATGTCACAAAAAGAGGTTTAAAAAAAAAAAAAAAAATAAAATGGTAATAGACAAGAAAATAGACTGACCAACAAGAAAATATTTTGAGCTGGTGTTACAAATTCAATCAGAGAGAAAAGATGTAGAATATTAAAAACTCTAACTAAATACATGAAAGTAACCAAACTAACACCTATAAGTAACATTACAAAAAGAAACATCTAAGTTGGGCAAATAAGTAGACAAAAACTGATTTCTCAATAGTAATTTTGAGTGATAAATGTATTGTTGATTACTGGACAAGAGGTTTATGCCAACCAACACAACCTAAAAGACAAGAAGACATGGAATAACATTTTTGGCTCGTATTTTAGGCAGTAAAGTTATACACCTCTTTAAAGTTGATGATGGTATCAAGATAAATGCAGAGAATCATTGTAAGTTCTTGGACAAGGGGTTGTTTTTGAGTGGTAAAAGGTCATGACCAAGATGTATTAAGCAAAAGAGTATATTCATACAAAGCAATGTTCCTTGTTTGACAAAGCTGAAGGAAAAAAATGTTTCAAAGTTTCCAAATTAGTGGAATGGTCCCGAGCCATAACAGTTTGTGGTTACAATACAATCTCCATTAATCTTGTTTTAATTTTTGTTGAATTATTATTTCATTATACATTTTATATTTATGGTCTCCATACATTTTTTAGTCCTGATTATGTTAACATGTCAGAAAAGTTTTATGTCTTAGATTATTACTTTACTATTGCATTACATGGAAAATCCCATTACGATGCATTGTAGGAACAGCACTTAAGTCAAGGATCCCTATAGTATTAATTCAATAGAAAATTTGTGGTCAATCATTCAAAGACGTATGTGTGTGTGTATGTCTAAAGAATTAATGGATTTATTTTTAATCTGACATTTTTATTATTTCAAATGTTATTTTAGTGGATCTTTGGCAAGCACATTTTCTTTAAGATTTCTCAAGTGTGTAGGCCTATAGACATAATCCTACATAATATTTGCAAATGTATTTGCATGTCTGTTCCACAATGCATAATAATAGTTTTGAAGAAAACTTTCCAACTTCTTTCTCTCTCTTTTCCTCCTCCTCCCTTCTCTCTCTTCTCAAATTGTTTTGAAGAAAAATTTTCACCCTCTTTTTTCTTGTTTTTTTCTCTCTCCCTCCTTCTCTCTCATAAGATACCACATTTTGTAATTAAAAAAAAAAAAAAAAAACTTTATGAAAGTTTTAGCAAAGATTTTATTTTAAGAAAAGAAACACCTAAAATTTCTTTGTTAAACATTTCAAGAATGGTCTTGTGTTTCAACTCTCATTTGTCCCTATTTTAGCTTTTAACAAAAGATGCCAAGGAGAATAAAAATCTTCACTTTCCACAAGCTCTTTAGAGGCTGCCAACAAGGCAAGTAGGGAGGGAGGACCTGGAGAAAAGATACCAGAGAAAATAGAACCAAATACAAATGAATTTAGTGAGGATCTTCCAAAAGCTAATTCAAACCAAGAACAGTATTCTACAGTGTATCAAAGACAGCAGGTACAGGTAACCAGAACAAGGGCACTAGAATCCTCGGCACAAAAACAGCAAAAAACTTGAGAAAGACTGGCAGAGAGCTGCTACATGCATGACCAATAAGTCTCAAGAGGAAAGGGAAAAATGGTTACAGCAATTATGTCAACAAAATGCAACCTACAGGAATAGAGTCAAAAGATGAAAGAGAAAAACATTTAAAGGATGCAAGAGAAAGATGATCTGCTAGAGATGCCAATAAGAAAATAAGTCAGCAAGAGATTCGCCCCACCTCAGACCCCCCAAATAAAAAGCAAGACCACCAATCCTCTGAAGAGAGGTAAGTGTCTTGATGGAGATAGGCTGAATAAGTTTGACAAGAGTAGCACCTTTCAAGGGGGTCTTGTAAAAGATCAGCTTTCAATTATGATCCACAACAAGATTATTCTATGGAGAAATTGATTGCTATTGGAACAATGTCAAAAAGAGTGCAGTGCAAAAAAAAAAAAAAAAAAGGGAAAAGAGAAATCCCCATTATATGTTGTGGAGGAGGAAAGGTTGTTCTACCAATGTTTGGTACACCTTCAAATACTTTGAGTGATGGATTTGTCTTTTTACAGCTTAACTTTTGCAGGTTATTTAAAACCAGAATATATACGTCTTGTAAAAGTTTTTTTAAGATAATAATGATTTATTAATAAAAGTCCTACTAATTAACCCATAACTGGGGGAAGAGGTGAATTCATACCTTTCCCCAGGGATATTTCACATAATATAACAAACTTGACTGGAATTGGAACTTGGCTTTCTGATTTCTAATTCTGACCCATTATCCATTACACCACCCACACATCCTAGCTTACAGCAGCTGGTATTCCCAAATGGTCACCCATCTAAGTACTGACCAGGCTCAACATTACTTAACTTTGGTGAGTGTACAAGGACTGGTGTTTCAATATGATATGACGATAAGCTTCTCAGATACTTGGAAAGTATTTTTTTGGAGGAGGGGAAACACATCAAAAAATATTCACTTCTTGAAAAACATTAAAAGTTACAATTCTGCTTTCCAAATGACCTCCATTGGTAGCAATATTATAAGAGAAGGGAACTTCAAACTAAAGTTCAAGGTCAAGTATACCATTGTATTCAATCTTTGTTGTCAATTGAAGGCAAAAACCAACAGTTTTTGCAGTTATATTTTATGGTAGATTACAAAGAGCAGGCTTTGCAAAGGTCACTGAGCCTTCTAAATCTGAAAGAAGATATAATTTTTGACCTGCAAGATATGTTGCATGCAAACAATAGCTACATTAGAAGTTTCAAATATGCATTGGAATTGGCACCACATACTGAGTAGAAGGTGGTCACTGATGCAGACAAAAAGCCTGTTGGTGAACACGGTAGCTGCTACAATGCCTCTGCTGCAAATGAAGTAGCAGCAATTATTACTGGCAAGGAGTATGGGAGGAGATATATTGTTTTTCAAGGTAGAAACAAGTTGCAGCACATAAATGCAACCCACTGATCATGTGTCGTACTTCAGTATCCATTAATTTGTCTATTTGGCCAAGATGGATATCACTTTGGTATGAAAAAAAAAGAAGAAGAAAAAAAAAGAAGAAGAAAAAAAAAAGGATCCTAAAACAAGAGCTCCTGCACTGACAAATACAGTAAACTTCATGGAATTCTATGCTTACCTTTTCATGTTAAGAGAGTAAGACTTCAATATTCTTCATCATTCACATGAGAGCAATTTGCAATCATATGTGTGTGTATATATATATATATATATGAATGAGAGAGGGAGAGATCTTTACATTAGAATACATCAGAAAAATGCATCATGCATCAAACTGCATTCACCTAAGGGATGCAATAAGTAATGAAGGAACATTGGCTTCTAATAACATTGGACAGCTTTGTGCCATTCTTCCATCAAGTACATGTTATATGCATGAGCATACACAAGAGGCATTTATATTAGGTCAGACACTATGGTCATCCTGATCTCTTCATTACATTCACATGTAACCCAACATGGCATGAAATAAAGCAAACTTTATCCTTCAAGAACCCAAAGATCCCCATGATATTATGGTGTTCAGACTTAAAGTAATAAAACTGATTGATCTCAAAAAAGATGAAATCTTTGGACCAGACAAATGTGACATGTATACAACTGTATACAATAGCATGTCAAAACTGAGGATTGCTACCTGTCCACTTTTTATATTATATAATATATTGATTCACTTACTTAGCCAAACAGCCTGAGCCAAAGCAAGATCTTTTGCTGCATGAAATTCTCAAGTCACAGATGATTCATGGGCCTTATGGGTCAATTAATCCATCCACCTGATGCATAAGGGATAGTAAGTGTACCAAGAACTACCCACGTCCCTCTGTACAAAAAACCCAAAATGGAGAAAATGGCTATTCACTTTACAGGAAAAGAAAATCTGGACATGGTGGATTCACTTAAAAAATGAGAAATGGGCAAGAATTCATCATTGGCAATCACTGGGTTGTAACCTACTGTACTCTTTTTATAAAAAATTTCAAAGCCCATATCAATGTTGAGTTTCTGTAACTATGTTAAGTCCATTATGTTTGGAAATATGTAAACAAAAGGTTCAGATGCTGCAACATACATTTTTATGCAAAATGGAAGTCAGCAGATAAACAAAAATGATGAAGTTGCACAGTATAAAAGAGAGAGTAAGATATATCAGTAGCAATGAGGCTTTCTGGCACATTTCCAATGTTTTCTATTCATTTAAATGAGTGTCCATATAGAGAATAGCCAAAGGGTCTTCTTTACAAAACAGCCTTACAACAAGCACTTTCACCAAAAGAAATTATGTTTACTGTTTTTTTTAAAGTTATGTTAAGAAGATGAAGGAGCAAGAAAACTCTTTTATTCAGAATTGCACAAGTATTACACCTAGAGGAACAATAAATGGAACAATAGGAAACATGAGGATGATCATCTTGTAAGTGCTTAGTATTCACTCAAGTCAAAGAGAATGCTACTACTTATGGCTCTTTTGGCATGAAGTATGTGGTACCAAATCATTCCAGGATTTGAAGTGAGTAAATGGTAAAGTGTGTGAAACTTATGGGGAAGCATACTATCAATGAGGTTCATTAGAAAATGATGATTGGGACTTTGCATTGACTCAGACATAAGTGTCAGATTCTCAAAGGAAACTCTGTAACCTTTTAGTCATTATGGTGAACATGTGTCAAATTGGCAGTCCTCTACAGCTTTAAATGAAACATCAAGAAGACATGGCTGAGGATGTAAAGTATACAGCTCAACAGGTAAACCTTAGAAAATTTTAATCAAATACGGATTGAAATTGAGGATCAAGTTTTGGTTATGGGATGCAAAAATTTGAAATTTCTGGGCTGCCAAAGACAAACCGTCAAGTAAGTGTCTTGATTTGAAGAAATATTGCAAGAGACAAATTATAACATCACAGAATTGGCTGCATTTGTGAATGAACATGAGTCTGAACTTCTTCCAGAACAACGCTGTGCATATTCAGAACACCATAAATTATACTAATGTTTGTTCAGTACAGTTTTCAACTCGTCCCTTACAATTAGGAAATGGAAGAGTACCAATTGACAGGTATGGTGATATCAACTTGGTTCCTATTGCTATTATGGTGAATTACTCAGCTGAATTGAAGAACAAGGTATTTCCAGACCTAAGCAAACATTACAATTTATACAAATGATTGTGAGAAAAGGCAATTTTTGCACTAATATAAAAAAATTAAATAAATAAAATAAAAATAAAATGAGACAGTAGCAAGGATTAACCATGAACAAGATTCCAACAGTAATTAAGAAATTTAGATCATCCTAAATTATGCAATGGGACAAGGTTAAGGCATTATCACAATGTGATTGAAGCTACTATCACCACTGTATGTGACTCTGGGGGGAAGGTGTTTTCATTCCAAGAATTCTAATCAAACTAACAGATATGACATTTGAGTTCAAACGCACAATTCCCAGTGAGACTGCTTTGCAATGTCTATCAATAAAGCTCAAGGTCAGAGTTTAAAATAAATTGTTTGCATTTGAGTGAGCTTTATTTTTCTTATGGTCAACTTTACATTACTTTAAGATATGGATTTCTATTTAAAAGGCACGCATAATTTGAATAGACAGTTTATATAAGATGTATAGATTATTGGAGCCAATCTCATCTTTGTACCAGCTGCTTATTTGACCAGCAATATCATGGGCATGATTTATTAAACAAGTACACAGAATTTTTCATTGAGTAAAAAGAATGTGAATCAGCAGATAGTTGTAGTAGGAGTTAAAGAACAACAAATCAGGAAAAAAAGCGTAGACAGGGAAAAGGAAAAAGATTTATGGTTGTATGTTAGTACCGACTTCCATTGTACTCAGTAAATGTCGGTAAGGTGTCAGCTTTTCTTACTGGTGCCTACTGACTTTAATTTTATTCACAAAAAAAAACATTTCTAGTAGCTGGATTTTAAAGAATTAAAATTTGTTTATGTAGAATGTGTTCAAGCAAATTTTGGCACTCAATCTGCATATTGTGCAATGAAAAGAAGCAGCAAGGAGTGTCAGTGTTCATGAATTAATGCAAGCATTCCTAACAGAATAGAGCTGTTATATTTATAATTAATATCTTGTATTGTTGACTCGAAAAATGTTTCTTCTAAGCAAAATTAGTGTAAAAAAAAGAAAATAAACATAAATATTGTGCAAATAAATAACATAAAATAAAACTTATATTTGACAATATTTGCCTAATAGGCAAATCATACCATTAAAAAAATGCATAATATATGAAGGAAAAAAGCAGTGATAAATAAAGAAAATCATAAGTGTACATTATACCAAAAAATCAACAAATGTTATATAACTTCTAAATATTTACCATAGGATCATGTTTCAAATGATAGTCCTAATAACAGAAACAGCTTGTAAATAAATGGAATTTAAACAAATCAAATTAAGTAGAATAACATGATGGAAGTACAATTCCAGTAATTAACTATTAGCCAAAACAAAGTAAATTAAAAATTATAGATGTATATATAAAGTTATTTACACCTAAAAAGTTAGCTTTTAAACAAATATATACTAATTTCTTTCTGTTAGTGTCCTTAATTAAATATAATCAGGAATCGTTATAAGGTACTAACATTTTTCATGATGCTTTTCATTTCATACACACACAAGTGGTCAAAACATTTACTTTCAGGCCATGAAACTCAGGTTTGAATTTTAACATCAATTTGTCAGAAAGGTGACTTCTTCATGTTATTGGCCTAGGAAGGTGATCCCAGTGTGTTACACCTTTGAAAAGCGTCCTTAAAAAAAAAAAAAAGTGTTGACCCAAACCTTGTGAGTGAAATTGAGTAGATGGAATTGTTTGTCAAGGGTTGTGACAGCACAAAGTCAGAAGTCATTGTGGCTGAGGGTTTAAGTGTACTGGCCATGTTCAAACTGCTGATCACACAAGATGATCATTTCATTCCCAGAAACTGTAACTAAGGTCTGCTCAGCATACTTGAAGTATAAACCACAAGTAGGCTCTGTGGGTGTGGAAAAAAACAAAAATGTACCCAAGCAGGCATCTACAACAAAGATTAGGTAGCCACCCTAGCAGGCTGGAATACTCTGATAAGAGCTATCAGCCATTATATATTTTGTCCATGGCCTAACACAATATTTGTTGTGGAAGATAAATGCTTTTTTTCATTATTAGGCTATGGACTTATACATACTCCCTTAATTTACTTACAATAGTAAGTAAAATGATTATGTTAAATTAAAATTTCTTAATTGTACAATAAAGATGACTAAAAAAGGAATGAAAATGACTAAAAAGGCAATGAAAATGACTAAAAAGGCAATAAAGATAAGATGATTAAAAAAATAATAAAATGATTAAAAAATAATAAAA